ATACATGCTTAAGGAAGACATACAGTTGACATGAATTTGTTCTGGTGAAAAATGTTCATTGATCCCCTATACAGTTGCATAAACAAGTCTAGTCTATGCTTACAAGATATTTTCAGAATTGTCTGAGAGATTGTAGGCCAATCATAGATATGAGATGACAGTGTTTATTACAGGTACTTATATAAGCACCATCAATCAACGTAGCTCTTCACATATATTGTACATTCACATCAGTCCCTGCCCTCAAGGAGCTTGCAATCAAAGATCCTGAACTCACATTTATACATACACATACTAGGGCTAATATAGAAAGGAGCCAATTAACCTACCAACATGTCTTTGCAGTGTGTTAGGAAACCGGATTACCCGGAGGAAACCCACGCAGGCACAGAGAGAACATGCAGACTCCGGGCAGGTAGTGCCATGGTTGGGGGTTCGAATTGAGGACCTTAGTGATGCTAGGCGGAAGTGCTAACTACTTTCCTCTGCTGCCCAGTGTTTGCGGGAATATGGGCTAACCAGATTGAAATTCTGTTCCAATATAATTTGTCCCCTATGATAGAAAACAAAGACTCCAACAAAAACTAAAAATAGCTAATCAAAATATAAAATGACAAAAACAGCTTTTGCTGCAATATTCACCTTCAATTCAGAATTTCCACCAACGGTACTTTTTCTGCCACTATATGCCCTCAGTCAGAGCTGTAATCATTCAACCCACTTCTTCTGAGCCCAGGTCATCCTGGATCCGCTGACCTGTGACTGGATGATAATAGGAGAAGCAGCACAGTAATAGGAGGTCATCTCTCTTGTCAGTTTGCTTTCTCCTCATATTATTCTCTGTTCATACTAGTGTGGTTTTGCGGGACACTGCACAGCAGCCCGTTAATTAATCCATTAAGATTAATGGCACCTGCCTGTGAGTCTCGTGTTGTTTTCGGGGGGGTGCTTGCAGCTGCGGGACGAAGTGCTGGTCCCACAGCGGCTTCCATCCACACTAGTATGAACCAAGGCTTGGTATGCTTTGTCAGCACATTCATGGATTGTGCTGCTTTTTCCTCCCACACTCTAATACTGCTTTACATGAACTGCAGGAGGCTAATTTAAGGTCAAATTCATGTACTCACAATGCTTGCATTTGTAAAAATACATTTAATAGTATGTTAATGATTGAATTCATTTGTCTTTTGTATCTACCTAGAGTTCAGCTTTATTATTTTGAAGGATATTGATCCACTTGTACCGTCAGTTTGTGAACTGAATCTGAATTTCACTGCTATATTACTTTAAAGTGATTGTAAAGGCAGATTTTTTCTTTTCTTTAAATACTTGCCTGCTCTGTGCAGTGGTTTTCCACAGAGCACCCCCAATCCTCCTTTTCTCGGATCCTCTGCCCTGGTGGGAACCGGCCCTTGGGGTACACTTACACTATCATTTTCAGCGAGTCCCAGGCACATTTCAGCTCCTTGGGCCAGTCCGTTATGTGTAGTGTGAGTGCTCTGAGCCACACTTGGGAATGGTTAAATGTGCCATGCCCGGGGCCACTTGGAAGTGGTGGTCTTGGGCAAGGTTCGCTTGTGGCCCTATAAAATGTGCTTCAGTGTGAGTGTAAACTAATTCGGAGCACAGTACTCTCCATAGATCCCAATGTACTGAAGCATGGATCCCTTATTTTACTTCCGTACAGTCCAGCGGGGAAGTTGGGATTAGGGAAAAATGAACTTGTGTGAGGTTCAGTTTAACCGGCCCCAGTGTGAGTGCACCCTTAGAAAGATGCATTGTAGCCAACCCCTGACAGGAGACCTTGGGAGGTTGTATATAGCTGGAGGCCATGGAAACAAATATCACATTAATCAATTTTTTTTTAGACATCCATCTAGTATTTTTAAAATAAATATCAGGGAAATTGTTTTGAAATTTTGGATAAATATGGGGAGACTAATATGTCAAATGTGCATTGGTCTCTTTTGTTACGGTGTGCCCAAAATGTGACAGCAATAAAAGCACTTTTTTGTAATTAAGGGGGTAAAGTGTAGAATCCCCTCCCCCAACCTCCAACCGTACCCACCCATCTAAAATAAAACTCCTTTTGCCTTCAACTGTAAAGCTGGCCATATAGTATACAATCTGAGTGTACAACCTCTCTACAATCTACATTAGATTTACCAAAATTGTATATAGTTATAGAAGGTTCCAAAAAACTACATTCCAGTTAGTAGTCACTCTTGCACTACATAGTTCATGGTAGATCTAAACAACATTGTACAATCCGATTGTATAGTGTGTGGTCATCTCTGTAGGCATAAAACTGCCAGTTTTCTCAAATGATTGTGGGAAAAACTATACAGATATACAGGTTAGTGTAGTGAAGTATTTCAGGTTACTTTTCTTTGAAACTTCAGTGAAGATCAGATTATGTGAAAGTACAGGAAAGATACCTGTAATTGGTGAACAAGGCTTAGAACATCTGTAAGTTTATTACCGCTATACAGTAGATATTCCCATCAGGAACATTTGACGCAACAGAAAATGAGGCAACAAGTTCCCAAAGGAGATAGACTAGGACTTCACACAACATGTGTTGACTGCTGTTTTCCTGCATCAGATCAATGGATCAGTGGATCCCCTGCCTGCTGTCAGGGGGTGTTGTGGGGACATGCAGGGGGTGCTTAACAGTAACCTGCTACGTTAAACCCTAAAAACGGGTGTAACATTAACAAAGGTGAACCTATCCTTTAATCCTTCCCCACTTTATCTAACATGAATGTTTTGCTTGGGGTTCCACATTCAGTTAACTAAATACAAAACCAGCACAAATTGTCTTCAGAGACAAAAATCATTTTTTGTGGAAATGCCTGCTGAATAGGCAGTGTGGTTGTAGCCTATTGCAGTCCTTAACTTCCACATATATAATTGTAGCCCATTCTCTTCTTTGCACTTAAAATCTGTGCCGAGAGAAAAGTGGAGGCTGCTAGTACTCCTGAAAATGCTAGTTGCCTTGCAGGCATGCCAGACTCTTCAGCATAATTGGAACATGTGAAGTCAGAACTCTGCTTGCATCCATATTGTGGGTTACTGACTCAGAACTCTTGGCACTAGTTTCAGTCATTATATATTTTTCCTGTGGTGTTAGGAGTTTTCAATTCAGTGTCTTTGATTTTTATATATTTCAATGGGAAAGGTATTTTGTGTGGAACTTTATATAAAAAAAGGAAGCATACAAACATGCATAGTTAACATTACATGCAGTACCTATTCAGCACAATAGTGGATGGGCTTATTAGAAACTGACCCAAAGATACAGAAAGCTAAAAAAAAATAACACTAAAATAGAGCTGTGGTGCCCAGTATGGTGCCCACTGGCTTTCTGTGTATGGCCTGGCATGTCCTGGTCTGGGTTTCTCCACGTTTTGGGTACAAGAGAGCTTATGAAACACAAGCTGTGTCCTTTACAAATAGCTGACAACAGCTCCCGATGTGCTGGCTCCTTTCCAGTGCTGAAGAAGTTTGCTTTTCAGCCCAGAGTGCTCTGTACTCCTTCAGTTTGGTAAACAAATTCCTCCAGCGGCTGGCACATCAGGAGCTGCTTTTAGCTATTTGTAAAGGACTTGGCTAGCACAGAGATGCAACAAATGGAGGCCCTCCCACTCCTGCACTCCTTCCTGTACACCCCTGTACCTGACACAGGTGATGTGCAAAGCCCTGCAAAGGTTGTCAGTCTACAAACGGAGTGGGAGAGCTTAAGAAGGCCCCATTCTCGCACTGTGCAGTACATAAAGGCACAAACCTTAGTGCATGTTATGTTGCGCTTTAACTTGAATTGTGTTAAGGCAGCCCATTCACTTAAATGGACCATCAATGCACTACAACAGACAAGAAAACTTGCCTACATTTTTCCTGACACATTGCAACTGCAACTCGTGTGCATTGGAGATACAATTGGGAGCATGTCTTCATAATGCTTTAGCATTAAAGTGTTCAGTGCACTGCAAGTAAAAATGCAGGAGGATCAACAGTTGTAGTGTTAAGGTGCGTAATATGACGCAAGGTACCAAAACATAGTAAAACAAGTCGCTCTGAATTCTGGAAGTGTGGAGGGCTGTACTTGAGGCCCTCTATGAATTCTGCAACCATTGGTATAGATGAAATTGTACCACTGGAAGCAATGCACAGATCAATGTACACTTTTTTTTTTTTCCTTTTTAAAAGTGTATCAGCTCTAAATAAGCAAAAATCAGCCGCAGGGATTCAAATAAATTTAGGATGAAATAATAAGGTAGGCAGTTTTTTTCTGTTCATAGAATATCAGCATGTGCTTACTATAATTTGCCAAAGGTGGTCAAATCTCTTATAGAACAGAGTCTGCCCATATACAGTGTGTACAGCCCAATGGTAAAGCATTTCAAAATTTCTGCATTTCAGTGAAGGTTGTATATGTAGTATACTGCTTTTCACCTTTGAGTAGATCCTATAGGTTTACTACCGTGCCTGTGATGTATGAAGACTGTGTTAAAGCTTAGCTGCTGACATCAGCAGAAGGAGCACCACTTAGTTCACTGTTCACCAGTTAGCTGCCTTACAAAACTCTCTCCCATTGGATCTGTTTGTGGAGAATGAGGCAGTTTTTTGCTTTATATTTACTGATTACCTGTTTGAGTGATAAATTGCCCCCTATTCACTATTCAGTGATCAAGTCCAGGGGGCAGTTAGTAGATACTTGAAAAAGCTAGGTCTGATTAAAATTTGCATCTGGTTGAAAAACTGCAAAAATTACACATTGTACTTCTGAGTATATACAGTAGTTTTTATTTATCTACAAATCATTATAGGAGAAGTATACCTTCAATAAATATATACTTTAACTGTAAAAGTTTTCTTCCAGTCCAGATAATGCAGTTCCATTGCCTGGATGGGTTAAATATCCTCAATAACTTTGTCTGTTTGTGATAAGCACACCTCTTTTAATCTGTGCATACTAATGATGTCTCCTTTCCTCACAGTATCACATGCTCCTCCTCCCCCTTCTATACTACAGGTAACTCCACAGTTACCTCTGATGGGATTTGTGGCGAGAGTTCAAGAAAACAGTAAGTTTGTGTGTTGATCTTCTGCTAAACTATCAGTCTGTGCAACTATTTAAAAAAATGAAGTTGCTTAGAGATGGCTCAGTTTGTTGTGTTTTATAAAAGGGGATTCTTTGTTGTAGCAAGATGTGTGTACTAAACATTCAGCAGTCTAATATACACTCACCAGACTCTTTATTAGGTACAGCTGTTCAATTGCTTGGTAACGCAAAATGCTAATCAGCCAAATTTGCTAATCAGCCAGTCACATGCAGCAACTCATTTAGGCATCTAGGCGTGGTGAAGACGACTTGCTGCAGTTCAAGCCGAGCATGAGAATGGGGGAAGAAAGTGGACTTAAATTACTTTGAACGTGGCATGGTTGTTGGTGCCAGACTGGCTGATCTGAGTATTTAAAAAGAAAAAACTGCCGATCTACTGGGATAGGATGGTCCAAAAAAGAGAGAAAACAACCAGTGAGCGGCAGTTGTGTGGATGAAAATGCCTTGATGATGTCAGAGGAGAATGGGCATACTGGTTCGAGATGATAGGCAACAGTAACCCAAATAACCACTCTTATCAACCAAGGTTGCAGAATACCATCTCTGAATGCACAACACGTCTAACCTTGGAGTAGATGAGCCTACAGCAGCAGAAGACCACATCAGGTGCCACTCCTGTCAGGTAAGAACTGGAAACGAAGGCTACAATTCGCACACGCTCACCAAAAATAGTACAATAGAAATTTGGAAAAATGTTGCCTGGTCTGAGTCTCGATTTCAGCTGCAACATTCAGATGGTACATTTAGAATTTGGCATAAATATCACAAAAGCACGGATTTATCCTGCCTTGTATCAATGGTTCAGGCTGGTGGCATAATGGTGTGGGGGATATTTTCTTGGCACACTTTGGGCCCCTTAGTACCAATTGAGCATTGTTAAAATGCCATGGCCTACCTGAGTATTGTTGCTTTCCATGTCCATCCCTTTATGACTACAGTGTACCCATCTTCTGATGGCTACTTCCAGCAGGATAATGCACCATATCACAAAGCTCAAATCATCTCAAACTGGTTTCTTGAACATAATGAGTTCACTGTACTCCAATGGCCTCCACAGTCACCAGATCTCAATCCAATAGAATGGGAGATTCGCATCATGGCTGTGCAGCTGACAAATCTGCTGCAACTGTGTGATGCTAACATGTCAATATGGACCAAAATCTCTGAGGATATTTCCAACACCTTGATGAATCTATGCCATGAAGAGTTAAGGCAGTTCTGAAGGCAAAAGGGGGTCCAACCTGGTACCAGCAAGGTGTACCTAATAGAGTGGCCGGAGAGTGTATACTTTTTTCTGTGCTTGTAAACAAATTGACACAATAAACAAGGAATCCCCTTATAATAACTCATTATAGTGCATCTTAATGCACGGTTTATTATATTGCAGCTTACATGTCCATGTGATGTGGCATTGCTTTTCTATTTTCAGACTAAGAACATTTTCACCAAGTAGAGAAAAAAAACTTTATTTTGCCTGAAATCCAGTGTCTGTTACTTTGACTTGAAAAAAAAAACCAAAAAAATCTACTAGTCCTATAAATCCACTATGTGATGGAGATTAAGGCAGACATATTCGAAGTCCAACCTGTGTGACAACCATAAGCCATCCTTCCATAGGTACAGCCAAGAAATAAGTGTAGTCACAAAGGGACAAGAGTACGTTTTTATTTGCAGGATTACCAGTTGAAAAGAATGCAGACACCACATGTATGGATGAGTAAACTGTTTTGGGTTTAGATACATTGTGTGTAAAAAAAAAAAAAAAAAAAAAAAAAATCATGTTATTGTTATTACTCAGTTAATATGTCCCATACTGCTGTAGAATAACACAATGCTGTTTTTACTATGGCTTACACTCAAAATAAAAAGAGATCATTATTAAAAAACTTCTTGAAGAGAGAATTGAAGATGTAATTTATAATTACCTGGTCCCTAATCTCATATATATTGTATATAATGTGAAGTACTTAATTATATTTTACAAAGCGAGTAAAATGTTTTGTTTTTATTATTAATTTTCAATTCTGTTTGCCATTCAACGTTTTATACTGATGTTTTGTTTTTATTTTACATTTTTTTTTCCTTTTTATAAATAAACATGCAATACAGGATTCCCCCCTTGACACAGGTTGCATGGTGGGTGTTGAGAGAGCACAGGAGAATCTGCTTAACCCACTCTTACTTTGAGGGGGTGGGGAAGGATGAGTCCATATATAATGTACAGTGGGGATTCGGTTTGGGCACCCCAGCTAAAAATGTGTATTAATGTGCATAAAGAAGCCAAGGAAAGATGGAAAAATCTCCAAAAGGCATCAAATTACAGATTAGACATTCTTATAATATGTCAACAAAAGTTTGATTTTATTTCCATCATTTACACTCTCAAAATAACAGAAAACAAAAAATGGCATCTGCAAACGTTTGGGCACCCTGCAGAATTTATAGCATGCACTGCCCCCTTTGCAAAGCTGAGACCTGCCAGTGTCATGGATTGTTCTCAATCATCATCTGGGAAGACCAGGTGATGTCAATCTCAAAGGTTTTAAATGCCCAGACTCATCTGACCTTGCCCCAACAATCAGCACCATGGGTTCTTCTAAGCAGTTGTCTAGAAAACTGAAACTGAAAATAGTTGATGCTCACAAAGCTTGAGAAGGCTATAAGAAGATAGCAAAGCGTTTTCAGATGTCAATATCCTCTGTTCGGAATGTAATTAAGAAATGGCAGTCATCAGAAACAGTGGAAGTTAAAGCAAGATCTGGAAGACCAAGAAAAATATCAGACAGAACAGCTCGCAGGATTGTGAGAAAAACAATTCAAAACCCACGTTTGACTGCAAGATCCCTCCAGAAAGATCTGGCAGACACTGGAGTTGTGGTACACTATTCCACTATAAAGAGATACTTGTACAAATATGGTCTTCATGGAAGAGTCATCAGAAGAAAACCTCTTCTACGTCCTCACCACAAAAATCATCGTTTGAACTTTGCAAATGAACATATAGACAAGCCTGATGCATTTTGGAAGCAAGTTCTGTGGACCGATGAGGTTAAAATTGAACTTTTTGGCCGGAATGAGCAAAGGTATGCTTGAAGAAGGGGCACAGAATTTAATGAAAAGAACCTCTGTCCAACTGTTAAGCATGGGGTTGGATCAATCATGCTTTGGGGTTGTGTTGCAGCCAGTGGCACAGGGAACATCTCACGAGTAGAAGGAAAAATGGATTCAATAAAATTTCAGCAAATTTTGGATGGTAACTTGATGCCATCTGTGAAAAAGCTGAAGTTAAAGAGAGGATGGCTTCTACAAATGGATAATGATCCTAAACGCACCTCGAAATCCACGGGGGATTACATCAAGAGGTGTAAACTGAAGGTTTTGCCATGGCCTTCACAATCTCCTGACCTCAATATAATTGAAAATCTATGGATAGACCTTAAAAGAGCAGTGCGTGACAGACAGCCCAGAAATCTCAGAGAACTGGAAGACTTTTGTAAGGAAGAATGGGCAAAGATACCTCAAACAAGAATTGAAAGACTCTTGGCTGGCTACAAAAAGCGTTTACAAGATGTGATACTTGCCAAAGGGGGCAGTACAAGATATTAACTCTGCAGGGTTCCCAAACTTTTGCAGACGCCATTTTTTTGTTTTCTTTTATTTTGAAAGTGTAAATGATGGAAATAAAATCTAACTTTTGTTGACATATTATGATAATGTCTAATCTGTAATTTGATGCCTTTTGGAGATTTTTCCATCTTTCCTTGGCTTCTTTATGCACATTAATACACATTTTTAGCTGGGGTGCCCAAACTTTCGATCCCCACTGTATTCATAAATTTTAAGTTTTGAGCTATTAATCTCTTTAAATAGTTTTATGTTTTTCATTAACAAAATAGCACTGTGCAACTATAATACTAAGTGTTTAATAAGACTACGATCACAATAATATATAATATACTCAAATCATATGCAACAATAATGAAGTGAATGAGTAATACAAAGTGATGAAAAGTACCACTCAAAAATGAAGAAATTTTAAATATAGTGATGTTTATAAAGGTGTACGTTTTTATTAAGCAGAGATAATTTATGGCAGTTCAGTTCTCTGGGGAAAAATGGTCTCCTCTGTCTCCCTGTTTATGAAGCAGAGAACATTTGTTCTCAGAAGAGAGAAGTTTTTCTTCTGAGAACAGCTGAGATCTGTGTAGAAGGGGGAGGGCTACAAGTGATCTTGTAAGTTAACTGTGTGATTACAGATTACCTGAGTTTAAGCCGTGAAACCAAAGTAAAAAAAAAAAAAACGTAAATACATGAAAATAATAAGCACTGACCACTGTTATGTTTTCACACATATTTTGGCCCATTCTTTCAATGTGTATTTTGACTCCTTTTTATTGTGCATTTTAGCATTCATGTGCATTTTGTTGCTTTTTAACATGCATTTTGCCACGTGTTTTTTAATGTGCATTTTGGTGATTTTCTAAACACACATTTAGGTGCTTTAATGCACATTTTTGGCACAGGTTTTTTTAACACTCATTTTGGTGTGGTTTGTAACGCACATTTTGGCACTTTTTATGGCATGTATTTTGGCACTTTTTTAATGTGAATTTTGATTTGGGTTTTATATGTATTTTGGCAAACAGCACATCTGCTAGCCACTTTTGGGTGCCATTAACAAAAAAATGGCACTGCAAACTTGACATGCATTTTGCCAAAAAATTTGCCAAAATACATGTTAAAAACGCACCAAAATACAGAGAAACATTTCCACATACATTTTTTAAAAAATGTGTGTTGAGAAAAGCAGCAAAATGTTCATTAAAAAACTGTACCAAAATGTGCATTAAAAAGGGCCAAAAAGCCAAACTGAACCTTTTAGGCATGGAGTGCTGTGTGTTTTTTCAGTGCACATTTTGGCGCACTGATAGCGTATTTTTCAATTGACAAAATGTGCAGCAA